ATGCAGTAAACGGGCCAGAAATCAAACCCAGGACTCATACAGAGCATCTACCATCAGTCATGTGACACACCAGTTGAAATTCCTTTAATCTTGTATTCAAACTTGTATTCAAAGAGCTGTGCATACAAGATTACATTAATAAATAAACTACACAAAGGTTTAAGCTTGATTCTTCTGCAACTTGTGTGTAAGTTAGTAATATGAAGGTGTTGAAAAATATGTCTATTTAGGTAAAAAATCTTGATATTTTCCTTTCCGCCATATATTGTATATATTGGCTGGCAAAATATGTTGCTTGTTCTTTTATACTGGTTATTTTTAAGATATTCAAAATAAAATAAAAACATTGCTGTAGTTTTCATCTGAATATAATGATTCTTCAGTGCACATTTTTTTCTGAGACCAGAAGATCTAAAAATCTCTAAAAGCCTTAAAAAGCTCTTATATTATCTACTGGATTTAGATAGAAGTAAAAATTTCGATTCACACTTTTGGTTTAAGCCACTCAGCTGGTCAAGCCACATTTTTGTATAATCTCCAGTCCCATCTGACTGGACATCTCAGTAGAAAACCAGTCTCGTCTAATATTTCTAAGTCTTAAAATTGGAACCAACAAGTCAAGTCAGACTCACTCCATGCACAATTTTCAAAACGCTACATCCCATCCAACAACATTAAACTGTTTTTCCATCTGTTTAATCTAGCGCTGCCACCGATATTTTATCCTGACCTACATACACAGCATGGCAGAATATATAAAATGAGACAGATGATGACGCAGTGGAGAAAAAGAAAACTAATTCCAGAGCCGATAGTCTTTACACAATAGAAAGAAGAGAAGTGCTGTTGAGCAGCAGAAGTGTACTGTGACGAGATCAGGATGTCATAAAATATGTAGGAAAGAGCAGCTTAGCACCGGAAAACAAAGCCATTAAAGAAAGCCCAGGAAAATGCAGTCAGCTAGAAACATAAATCTCCATTTCTTGACAATTCAGACAAATGCACGCTTCTGGTTAAAAAAAAAAGCCCTAAAACCCATTTCAAAGTGCATTTCTGGATCTCCTGGTGAAAGTCCACACTTTTATGTTTTCTGATGTGTACACACACCTTAATATGTTTCTGAGTATTCAAAGAGACAAACACACAGGTGTTTTGGTATTTTGTGAACACCAAAACACATCATTTGTGTCACAGTCTGCTTCATCCATTTCTCTTTGTGTATAAAATGCTGTTTTTAAATCATTGATTGGGTACATGCAGAGTATCACTAAGATGGTTAGCATGACACGGAGCGAGGCTGTTTAGTCATCCGGAGTGAAACAATAATGCTGATGTAGGCAACTACTTCTGAGACAAAGTGCTGCACTTACAGATTGAGCCATTTACAAAAAAGAAAAAAAAAAAACACACGACTGCGCCGAAAGATCTCAAAACCTCAACCAGCAGCATGCACTTTCATGGATTTTTTCAGTTTCACGAAACCTTAGATAAATGTTCAGGGCATATGCGTTAATGCCCTCAACGATTGTCACTTGGTTTTTCAACCACTTTATAGATCCCATTTGTCTGTTACTTGTACGGAAAGTTATACATGCAGGCTGAAAATCATACATTTCCACTGGCTACTATTTGCATAAATGTCCTTTAGTAAGCTGTACATGAAATACATGCTTTCTTTAGCCATCAACAAGCGTCAGTAACAAAATTCTGTCAGAAAATATGGCAACTGCTCTTAGCAGGGCTGACAGACTTCCTTTTAAAATGTTGTAGCCTGCTGTATCTGTCCCAGAACCATTTTTAATTATTTAGTTCCGCTGTTGAAACATCCTGTTGTGTCTTGTTTTAACTAGTAGTTGATTTGATGTAAGGTTGAATCATTTGGAGGAAGCTCTTCATCTTCAATATTACATCCACTTTGTACAATGTACAAGTAGCACATGTATCAGACCCCACAGCATGACACTGCCACCACCATGGATGATAACTGATACAGCTGACTCCTACAATTAGTCTTCTACTGAGTATGGCCGATCAACTCAATATTTGTGATCTCTGACAAGAAGCTTTTTGTCCAATTTAAAAATAAATGTCAATTTATTCTTTCTCAGTCAACAGACAAGTGATGTAAAATGATCTTGAGTTTGGTTTGAATTAATCATAAAATGACAGATTGTCATAATTTAAACACAGATACATCAAAGCTAGTTTCCGAATTAAAAAAAAAGAAGACTACCATTGCCTTCTGGAATAACTTCAAACTCAAAAAAACTCTGCCAGAAAATAACCCCAAAAACCAAGAAACTGTTCGACCATCTATGATAAGAAGAGACAACAAATATCCATTTAATCAAATAGTAGTTGAGGTGTTTCCGCATGCAATTTGATATATAGCTATTATTTCAACCAATCTGTGATAAGAGAAAGATTATGAAAAATTCTAACTTGTTCACCAAAATTTTGTTCTTTTCTGTTTTATGTCGTTGAATCCTTCCAGCTTGGAAAGAAAAGCGGCTCAAGAAAATAAGTACAATTCCTAAATTAATTACATTCATGCTTATGATGAATATATGTAAACTTGTAAGCACCAGTGTTTGTTACCAGCTAGTAACCAGACTCAAGGATTAAAAAAAACCCTCTGATCTCAGCTGAAGAAAAAAGCTGCAGTTCTGGAACATACTGCAACCTGAAACTAAACACTATCACTGGCCACACCTTAATTCACTCGAGTGCTTTCATAAGGATAGTCTTTCAGTAACAGCAGTAGTAGGTAAGATACGAATCTTGTGAACTCAGACTCCACAAGAAGCTGCATTTAAAATGGATATAAACTCAGATGAGATCTATATAACTTTAGTAAAAGAGAAATATAAAGTAAATCACACACTGTAACAAATAGCTGTAAAAACTACAGCATGAAAATACAGTAAGTTGGCTGGGTTTTGAACATACAGTTCTTTACTGTGATCTAAAATGCGTATGGAAAGTATATGGGACGTGGTTGGACCGCTGGATCACGTGCAGAAATTTACAGCTGTACTGTGAATTTTTAATGTATAGTTGCATTGTGGGATACTTACCGGCCGGAGGCGAACTTTCACTGGGTAAGTACCTTTAAAAAACATTGTATTGCAGTTTTGTGTTTATGTACGAAAATATATTTTATGTGATTATATTGAGCTACTCTCGCTTGTTTGCTGAATCGAACTGTGGTCATTCCTCAGCTAGCATTATGTGCAACAGAAGTACTTTTTAGTTCAGTTCATCTAGAATATGCAGATGGCTATATTCTGGTCTTTTTAGAGAAGTTGTTTGAGGGTAGGATGCCTAAACTGCTTTGGGTTTTTTCTCCTACAAAGTTAGGCATGGTGATTAATTGTGATTAATCAGCCAGTGCCAGAAAGAGAGTCTGTCCACTAAATATGTCCTTTTCATCCTGTCTGTCTTTAACTGACATAAATGTAGTTTAATGTGCTGTTTGTCTCATGTATTAAAACATGTTTTTCTTTCTATCTCCCAGCAATCCTTTGATGATTTCTGGAGAAGTCCAGGACTAAGACCAACTCAGAACTCATTCCTGTTGGTTTTTTTGGCTGTTCACTACGTCTTAAACTTGGCTAAATGTTCCACTAAAGTTTAGAAAAATATGTAAATTCAATATTTGACATTGGTGGATCCCTTCCTTCAGAGGAAGAAAATGACAGATATTTCGAATTTTGACTGCAAGTTTTACCTGAAAAGCTGGAAAAACATTGTTTTTATGGCTTTGATGTGCAGTTTGCTTTGAAACGTTGATGTTTCTGCACTTTTGTTTTAGTAAAGATTATTTAATTCAATATAATATCATCATGATTCCTTATGTTTTTAGATCAGAGTATTTTTCAATTTGGTTGCAAAACTTTGACTTCTGTGTAACAAGCAAATTACTATGTTTTGTTTTGCTTCAGTTTGTCAGATTTAAATTGACAATAAAATAAAGCGATTTTAAATTATTTTTTTTTATTAGAAGAATAAAACTTTTTTGAGAGTTTGGTAAATTAAGTTGCAAGTTCACATTTAAACTTGTAAAAGCTAAGTATTCAGTTTCAAGAACTGCTGCAAAATGACAACATTTTGTAATTCTACTACAGGCAAAAATTGTGTTAATTAATTTTTTCTTTTATTATGATAAGAATGTGATAAAATCACAGTAGCCATGTCATATAGTTACTGTGCTATGTTAAAGATATTACAATAACACTAATCAAATTACAGTTATAAAGTAATAAAAATTATAGTAAAACTGCATTAAAGTCACAGTAAACCTACAATAAAATTACTATAAAATTGTAGCAGAATTACAGTAAGGCTTCTGTAAAAAATAATTACAGTAAGGTTACTTAAAAGTTACTGTCATTTCTTTACCATAAAAATGACAGTAACTGGCTTGCAACCCTGCTGCCAGTAAGTTATTGTAAATTCTTTTTATTTATAGCCATAAAATAAAGTCCAAAGATCTGTAACTTAAAATAAAACAAAGCAAAATCCATTTCTTCTGAGAGCTTTACGATGACTTTCTTACTTTTAGTTGTGAAATGTATCACATCTATGGGTGCCTAAATCACAGAAGTAAACATCACTAATCCAACTTTATTCGGATATTTGAAATGAACAACCCTTAAATATATATTTCCCACCAATCCCGTGGAGCTTCCTCATGTCTTTTTTGACGACGAAGCAAAGTTCACTATATACGTTCTCTCACTGTGACTCTCATTGATATTTCTCATCACAAATGCATGTCTATCTTTAGTATATAGAGCAAAGAGAACCGATCCACAGTAAATTACGGCATGCAAACTGCAGGACGAATGCGCGCAAATGCTGTTCCTCCAAGTAAACATTATGATATGGGGACAGCGATATTCACCATCAGGGGAGACTGTTACGGTCTCATTCCAGCCTCTTGTCTGTTTGCACATACAAAAGTAACAGGAATGGCAACAAGGTTTTCGTTCCTCTACCTGGATGCTGCAGGAGATCTCGGAGTCGTCCAGTAATCGGATCGTGCAGAGGACCTCCTGGTCCAAGGAGCGGATGCTGGGGCTGCGAAACCGGAGCATTTTCATTGTTGGGTCGGTGTCGGTTTCAGCTCCTCATGTCAGTGGCTCCAAGTGCGAAACAGATGCAAAAAACGTGTAAAAAAAAAAAAACACACACACACACACATCGGGGTGTCACGCTTTACGCACGGCATAACATGTGTCCGTCTGGTCTCGTCACCCCTTGAACCGCCCTTGGAGATGAATGGATGGATGCGACAGAGTGGGAGGGAAGAGGGCTTGCATTCGTCTGCTCTCTGTGTGGCCCGCTTATTGATCATCTCCAGGAGAGATGATGGCTTTTCTCCTCTCCCTCACTCTCTCACTCTCTCTCTCCGTCTGGTTTAACCCTGCTTCCGCTGTGCGTGTCCATCAAAATTCAGCTCCCTCACTTTGTTTATGCTGAAGATCAATGTAAATTCGCTGCAGCAAAATCTGATAAACTGCATTCAGATTTCCAAACAATATTCTAAATATCTCTCTTTATATAATTGGATTATATATTTCTTTGTAATTAAGTGCAATCACATACATTTTATAGAATAAAACATTAATAAAACATTAATAATTAATTATCTAATTTACCTATATCCATACATTTTATTTTATTTTAAGCCTTTCTGGTCCAAAGTCCCGAAACTGCCCGCAACAATGACGTCAAGGCCAGCTCAGACGTCCCTGTTTATTTTGACGTAACGCGAGTCGAGGACCCTGTACCTTTAAATTGTCGACGTAAGCGGCGTGCGTCATTACGTATCAAAACAACTCGTGGCCACAGTCCAAGCGCTTTCGGGGCTGCAGTAATGCGTTCGTTGGGTGATCTTGCCTGTGTCGAGCCCTGCTGCTCGGTCGCCCTCGGGCGTTGTTCCCCCTCAGAGAGTTTTACAGACACTAGCAAGTAAAGCGGGCCGATTGTCAGCAGGGTTTCCCCACTTATTGTTTTGCTGCTGCTGTGGCAGAAGCTACGGAAGCGGCACCTGTTCAATCACTGTAGGGCAGGCTAACGGTGAGTCGGAATGCAGTGTGCGGTTGACTGGACCTCCGGCAAAGATGCATAAAAAGCCTTGAACTAATTTTGGCAACATTAAATTGTTAGAGAGTCCGACGCTAAAAAGCAGGAGAGTTTTACAGCGCAGTTACTGGTAGTTGCCCCTTTTTACAACAGGACAACACTTGGTCTTGTAACATGTCACAAGGCTGGACAAGAACTAGTGGGGGACTTCTGGACTCTTTTCTCTGTTAATATGTTATTCCTCCTCATCCTACATGATTTAGGATTCAAAAGTATTTAAAAGAGTCCATGATACATTGCTCTTCTAAACGGGCCCTCAGCACCCTGAATCCTCCACCATACATAACAGTGGGCTTGAGATCATTTGCCACATATTTGGCCTCTGTTTCAAGCTAACCTCTCCTTAAGTGGACAGCAGAAAAGCTCTGCATTGGTCTCAGTTGACCAAAACTCAGAGTTTAATAAACTCATCAAAACTATGTGTGCAGTGATGCGAATGAAAACAGGCAACAAAAGTCTGTTGGCATGCAGATGAATTGTAATGGTTGTTACGGAGACTTGATTAGATTGGTCTTCTGAGCTTTTGAGACTTTATTAACCTGACTTATTCTGTTCACTGCATATAATGGCAAGATAAAATGTGGTTACGCCTTGAAACTGGCATTTATGGCTTTACACATTTATATCACAACATAACAGCATGGTTTTACCTCACATTTTCTAGACAAGCTGATCAATTAAAAAAAAAGTTAAATATAGCTTAAATATATTTTCATTTATTTTGCAGTTAAGTGTAGCAATGACTGAGGAACCATTGGTTTATCATAAAACTATGCCTCTAAATGTGTTTTTCTTTTAACTAAATCAATATACATATATCAGGTTGCATTTTCATTTTTTTTTCAGTGTAAGAATATGTTACTTCAATAAATAAAAGACATTTATTTTAAAGCTACGGTCTTATTATTTTGATTATGCAATATTTGATTTGTATCATTTCTTTTAGCACAGGGCGTTGAGGCTTCTGTCACAGACAAGATGATCTACATCATCATGGGAGTCTCGGGTTGTGGAAAGTACGTATGTCTTCTTATTGTGGTCACTAATTATTCTTTATAAATCTGTGACTTTTGATACATGAATTTAACAAAGTAGCTTAACAAGTGATATAATTAATAAATAATCCAACCTTTATGATGTATTGTCATTCACTTCAAATCACTCCACTCTGAAAACAGGATGACTCGGTTGAATAACCAAGATCATGACATTCATTTTGAGATCAGTGTATATTTCACCTTTTGTAGTAAAATTTATGGGGGGGGTTTTCTCTTTCTATTTTCCACCATTCTGCAATTAGGTTTATTAATGTTTCACTGTCTGATTTCCAGCAATTATTGTGAACATTAGTTGAATAATTTAGCTCATTTTTGTCTGTTTTTCTTTCTTGCTTTTTGGAAAACAGAACCAGTTTGGGGACATTCCTTTCTGAAAGGGTAAAAACTTGGATGGCTCACTACTCAAACACAAAACTCTCTGATGGTGTTATGTTCGTATGGAAGGACATTTATACTGACCTTGTCATGCGTGGTTCTCCTCAGCTTGGCTGGCCCTTCTATGAAGGCGATAACTTCCACCCGCAGGAGAACATTGAGAAGATGGCTCGTGGAGAACCGCTCACAGACCAGGTCAGCCCTGGAGTCTGCATACATGTGTTATGCAGGACTCTGAAGAACTTGACTGCACTTAGGAAGTGATTCAGCAATTTGATTCAGCTGTGTTGGACCAGGAAGATGTCTAAGAGTTACAGGACCAGGATTGCCCACCCCTGTCCTAAACCAAAGTAAAGCTTGACAACTGGATTGACAACTGAATCACACTTGTATTTCCAAACTCTTATACACATTTTATAAAACAGCACCGTTCTAAGAAATTTGGGCGAATTGTAGATATTAATATTGCCGTTATGGCTTATAACCAGTATTTATATACATTTTCCCTACTCTTACGACATCATAAAGCAACCATCCGGTTTTTATTGTTTCTCTGCTTCGGTGAAACAGAGTATGTTCAGACCCCTCAGTCTTAACATACTTTATTCTTTCTTTGAGTGGAAAGAAAGAATCCTCTCTCCATTGTCTCCCTCCTTCCATCGTCTCTTTTGTCATTTTCTCCTTTTTTCTTTGTGTCTGTTCTTCTTTCCTTCCTGGCAGAGAGAATCTGGCAGCATTTGGTGCCATTTTGCTGTTTGGTGACAGACGATAACCTCCCACGCAGAGGTTTACTCAGAAAGCTGAGGAGGAATACCTCTGTCCAACATATGCCGCCATGATTCAGTGACAGTCAACAGTTGGCAGATTGAGATTAAATGATGGAGCGAAGCAGAAATGTAAATAAAGGATTACTGTCAGGCTTTAGGGACAGCAAGCCTTTCATTCTGGTGTTAGTTGGCAGAATGAGGCTGGCATAAACAAAATGAGTTGAAGCCAGGACCTAAAGGTGTGAGACTCTGTTATGGAGCTCATTCATCTCAGATCTCACTGTCTCTGTCTGATTTGTTTGTTTGAGTTTCACTGACATCACCTGAACAAGTGTATGTGTTGAGTTTCTTAAAACGAGCCCTTAGTCTATTGAGATTTCTGTTGCTTTATAATTACAAACATTGCATTGGTTAATTTTATTTCTTAGTTCTCAAAGGAATCTTACTTGTTTTCAATTTGCATGCAACAAAAATCTGTCTGGCACTGGAAAAGTTCTCAGACGTTTTACATAATTACATAAAATAACCAATTTTTTCTCAAAATATATTTAGGATTTATTTTGTCTTCAGATCACCTCAGCATCTACGGCATTGAAGTGAAAACATCGTAATTTATTATTTCTTGTCTTTCAGGACAGATTTCCTTGGCTTCTCAGACTACATGAAATCATTGAGAGGTGAGAACCAGTGACATACAGAGACTCACAAATATTCTTTTTATTACATCGGCTCACATCCGTGTTAATACTAACATAATTTAGATCAAATCTAACTGCGTCCTTAACGTTTAGACTCTTTGCACTATTGTATGCAGCAATGAAATACTTGATATTTCTACTGATGGAAGGAAACCAGATTCAGTTTTACAAATCTCAAAAGCATAGCAGCAAGGTAGGAAGAAGCAGGCATAAAATTGTTCAGAAAGATCCAAAAATATCAAAAGTGGGTTTGAAAATTAAGCTGAAAACCGCAGCGACTGGGAATGGAGTTTGGGGGAGTAAAAGCAGATTTAGAGAGAGAGGGTGAGGAGAAGAAGTGAAGATGTTAAACTGCCTCCGGTGACATCAAAGACGGTTTTTTACACTCATCGTTGTGCTGCTCTTTTTTCTCCATTGCTTTGTGACCAAAGTAAACTTTGACATTTTATTTCATTCCTCACTTTAAAAATATTAATAACCATGTAGTATATCAGGGGACATTTCTGACATCTCAATATTTAAATGCATGTTCATGTTTTCCCATCACAGAGAAAGGTCTTCTGGCTCAGATGCTCTTTTAGCGTGTTCAGCTCTGAAGCGTCTCTACCGGCAGATTCTCCTCCACGGCTCCACGGTGGTGACACCGACCAGTAGCGTCTCCCTTCCCTCCTCTCCAGAGGTCTTCTTCCTCTACCTGCATGGCGACTACGATCTCATTCACCAGAGGATGGTGGCCCGACAGGGACATTACATGAAGGCAGATCTGCTGCGCTCCCAGTTTGATATTTTGGAGCCTCCGTCAGACGAGGAAAACGCGCTCACCCTGGACATCAGGAAAAGCCAGAAGGAGATGATCCTGGAAGTAGAGAAGCACATTGAGAGTCTGAAGTTGTGAAGCTGGAATTGTGGCAAACAAATGGGAACTCTACGCAGTTTATTACTTGAGTGATTCGTACCCATTTTTTCATGGGGAAATGAACTTAACTTTTACTTTATTGCCCTGAAAAGGTCCTCAAATCCAGATGTTTTAAATGTTTCATATGAATTATAAGCATATTATTTGCTACATAGCAGTAACTCTTTTTGATCATTTTCCTCTTCTTTTAATCTACTTTTTTGTTTTCATAAAATTAAGTCCAGAATTTATTCCTGAGTGAGTGAAATAAAACTTTTGCCTTTGATTATTGAGAAGGGTATAAAATATTAAACATTTATTTTTTATTATGTGGAAATAAAAACAGTTTTATTCTTTTTGGTATGCCTGCTCCACTTCCCACCAGAAACAAACTTCTTGGTTGAATAAATGTTAAATCTATAAGTTGTCTGAAACCTTCCAGGTTTAGCTGGAGGGATTCTCGACTTTGCTGCAGGTTCAGTCT